TCCCTTTTTCCTTTCCTTTCTTGTCTCCCTTTTCACCCCGTGTTTCCTGCGGTCGAGCAGGTAGACAGGTTGCAGTAGCAAAGTTGATTTCGATTCGATTCAAAGAGAGTAGAAGACACGACCTTGTTTCTGCTTCAAAAAATTATAAATCAATCAAATTGAAAAAGTGACTTATCACCGGTTCTTAATTCTATATAAACGAACGTTTTTATTCTTGATTTATTCTAAATCTTGCATGATTAATTTGTTCACAATAAGAGGATGATGTTTTAAGTTCGTTAAAACTGTTTTATAAAGAATCTTCTCACCTTAATTAGTAAAGGATACCCATAAATATAATTTCCACGACAAAGAAGTAACCCCTTTTTGATTTGATGGTGGAAAAAAGTGGATTCGATTAAATCGGCAATTAGCTACGACATTATGCATCAGATACTTTCATTATTCGAATAATGAAGGGACGTAGTATTACCTGTACACTTTACTCCAAGATAAAAAGTTCTATGGTTATTATAAAGTTAGCGATATGCTTGAGACCGGTCAGAGAAGTCTCCCTCTTTGCGTCTGTCTGTCGGGGTGATTGCAACAGGTTGCAGTAGCAACACTACCACGATCACCATTACCAACGTTGAGAATTCCCCTTTACTCCCGTAGAATGGGCCGACCAATTCCCTTACGCAGAACCCCTTAATGTACCCCAGCAGGTAGTCTCCATAATCGTGCAGCTATGCTTTGTTGTAGAACAAAGTCAGCCTCAAGGATTTATATATTTCAATTATATATATATATATATATATATATATATATATATATATCTATATATATATATAGAGAGAGAGAGAGAGAGAGAGAGAAAACAGTTGTGTCCTTTTGTTAGCAACCTGTAACTCGAAAAAGTAAGATTATGGCGACCCTCTGTTGGTATCGCAGGTGATGTCATAAATTCTGTTATAAAGTTCTATCGTAAAGTTAATCTATAAAAATCAAATTCTTGGAAATTCTTCTATTTTCTTTTTAACAGATTTATCAGATTCTTACGTAGCAGATACCTTGTGGAAATCCTTAGAGTGTAATGATAAAGCAATATATTTTTATCTTTGTTATCATCCTTCAAAAAAAGGGGAGCAACGGTTCGATGCAAGTATGTTTATCGCTTTTATATCTTTCTTTCTCAGTAGTCTATGTAGGTATCTTTTATAGAAATGTTTCGTTTCCTTAGAAATTACAAAAGAAATTATTTTTCTGTACATTTCAAAATCTAATATCGCGAAATAATACCGAAAGTGAAAACTTCATGTTACGATAGAAAAGAAGACAGGCAAAATGCGTTGGATGTAGCCTGACGTAATGTAGTGTGGGAGCGGCTTGGCTCTTTGGGGGTCAACGCCCCGTCTTTCTAACACCCATTGTTTTCCTACAACCCTATCACAATCGAAGTAACTAAGCCATGTCGTTGTAATAATTTAACGTATTTCGAGTCAATAATGAATTGCTATCACGGTATTGTTACTATTAAAGTTTATCGATTTATTTTTTTTGAAAAATAAAAGAAAGATATTAATAATATGAATTAATATTTCAAACGTGATCTAATGAAAATTGAATTGAAAAAAATATTTTTCTATATACTATATAATAAAATATATTTTTTGCTTAAATTACCACGTTCTCAAATTTTTTGAAAGAAGAAAAAGAAGAAAAGAATCATGAATTTTATTAAACATACGCATCGTACATAAACCATGAAGAAAAGCTACGGAGCTCTCAAACGATACCGTTAAACTGACTTCCGTCTGTCCACCTACCTACCTGCCTACCTACCTACCTACCTACTTTCTTCCTCGCACATCGTCCGGTAATATCGAAAGAATTTATTTTGTAAGAGGTAGGGAGGAAGAATACAAATTTCGAGCAAATTTAAAAGCATGGTACCGTCAAATTTTCTTATTTGTAGTGGTAAAAATCATAATCATTTATGTAAAATAATATCTGACATATCGATCATTTCGAAAAGAGCTGTCTTAAGAATTAACTCATATTCGATTAATAACTATTATGAAATAAGATATGGGCATGGGCTAGCTCATAATAAAATCTCAAGTACACAAAGGTATGTCACACTCTTGGGGAAGATTATTGCGAGGCACTGTACTCGTATGTTCGTATGTATATATGCATCTCGTATAGGGTCGAGAGAAATTGGTCGGTACAGTCGTTACTGTAGTCCTCGGTACCCCTTGCTCGTTCAACGACCCTGCATGACGGTCGCTCATCGCTTCATGCACGCATGCACGCACGCACGCACGTGATGAGAGAATCGGAACGAAAGTGAACTGTAGAACGACTACGACGACGACGACGACGACGACGACGACGACGACGACGACGACGACGACGACGACGACGACGACGACGACGACGACGACGACGACGACGATATGAACAACATATATGACTACGGGAAAATTTTAAGGTATTTTTTCATTTCTATTCGTATGATAGTATATCATATGTAATTTTTCATGAATAAATTCAATTTGATTTATTCGAATAAGAATCGTTTAAAAATAAATCATTTAAAAATCATGTAATGGTATTTTAGTTTCATTTGTCTTTATATCTTATTTAAATACCTAAGCATTTCTTCATGTATTTCTTCCAAAAATGTCACGTATTCCATATCACGAGACATGATCCTTCTCCCTCAGAACAAATTGGACAAAAGTTCCATACTTAATAAAAAAGAATAAGAAAATAAAAACAGCCTTGTTAGATATGAAATAAAATTCGAAAATGATTAGATCGAAACTTGCTGTTTTCACGTGTATTCGTTCAATCGTAATCGATATTCTTTGAAGTGAGGTCACGCTAGCTAGCTAGGGTGAAAGAAAAAGAAGAGGGAGGCAAGGGTCAGCGACAACAGGAAACGAGACATAGTATCGCTCAGCACCGGACGTCGTAACTTCCGAGTCCTTTGGTCTCTGCTCTCCCCTGCGTTGTCCATCGCTACGCATCGTCGGGATATCCATCGGTAGATATGCAACGAAGAGAACCCTCATTAAAATTTTCATCGATAGAGGGCGCACTGGAAGCAACCAAAGCAGCGAAAGGTAATGGCAACGTTCATGTTGGAAATCACGAGGATATCACGAGTAGTGCACCCGCTCTAACGCGCCCTTTCCTAGAAGGATAGAGAAAGAAAGTAAGAAATAAAGAATGAGAGAGAGAAAGATCGAGAAGGGAGGAAGAGGGAGAGAGAGGGATAGAGAGCGTGAACTCAGAGGTGGAACGTAGAGAAAACGGGCAGGGCGCGAGAACGAGAGAGAGAATGAGAGAGAAAGAGAGAGAGAGAGAAAAAGAGAAAGAGAGAGAGAGAGAGAGAGAGAGGGTGGGGAGACAGAGGAAAAGGAGGAGAAGTGAGCTCCTTACAGTGCATTGCCTTACGATCTTCCCCGAGTTCCCGTCGCACCCCGGACGCCGACAAATCGCGTCCAACGTGCTTCTCATGAAGAGATCCACAAAAGCAGCTTCGCCGTCGAGAGAGATTCGGGTCGTCGCTTGGCGGCAGCTCTTCTAGAGAGAGAGGAAGAGGAGGAGGAGGAGGAGTCAACTCGTATATGCGTGTGTATGCGTGTATACATAAAGACAAGAGAACACAAATACACGCATTATAGATGTATACACATGTTTGCATTTACGTATGGGTTACGTCTATCTATCTTTACGTATGGTGTTTATATGTGCATATGAGAGAGAGAGAGAGAGAGAGAGAGAGAGAGAGAGAGAGAGAGAGAGAGAGAGAGAGAGAGAGAGAGAGAGAGAGAGAGAGAGAGAGAGAGAGAGTGAGAGAGAGAGAGAGAGAGAGAGAGTAAGAGGGTACAACACCGCACCCCGTTTGCTCTTCTTGGCTTTCTTCCTTCTCTTCGAAGGAGAAGCCGTCGTCGGGAACGGTGAAATGATGACGATGACGATCGTCTTGTCCATGCGAGTGTTCTCCTTCACGTCCCTCTTGAGAATACGGTGAACTCTGCTTATACGGTTTTCGTCTTCTCTCTCATCTCCATTCTCTCGTTAAGGGGAAAGAGAGGAAGAAAAAGAGAGAGAGAGAGAGACTTTCACCGAGAGATGCTATGCCAGTTCGGAGGGCTATAGGGTTATCATCCGGGCTTCTTTCTCCTTTTACGACTTACGCTTTTGGCGCGGAATTTATGCGGCGGTATGACTTCACGCTGCACTCTCGTCCTCCTTTTTAAACGTTCGCACGTCCTTCTTCAGGATACGATTTGCATTTTCACTTACGTAATCCGAAACCGAAATGTTCTTGCAACGTTCTAATATAAAGTTCGACAAAGTCGAACAATTAAAAAAATTTTCAGAATGAATATCAAGTGGTCAGGTAAGAACTTTTGACTTATTTAATATGTACCTTTGTTTTTATTGTACCTATTGGCCTTTCATTTACAATAATATAAATTGTTTGGTACTGTTTGCTCAACGTGAATTGTTAAGATGTCGATTTTGTCGTCTTTATATTACATTGGCTCGATAATTTTGCTCGATGTATTTACATACGTAAACGTAAATATAAGGTAATATACCACGTACGAGAGTGCATAAGTATATGTCATATGTATGTATAGGCTTGTTTTACTTTTTACGGAAGCGTGTTGTTTGTTTCATGGAATTTGTTAAAGACCATGGCAGGAAAAAAGTAAGCGTATAGTCGATCGAGTCTTTCAATGGTATCTATCATCTAGCAAGTTGTATACAAGTTGTAACTCAAAGATGGGGTTGACCATACTTCCAATCCTTGTATCCGCATTTGCCTTTTCTCTCTCTTTCTCTTTCTTCGTATTCACATGTGTGGTTCGCGCCCTTCTCTTTTTACATCTCTTACCGCATTGCAATCTTCTAACGGTTAATCGACTTCGACTTCTTCTGACTAATCGATCTAAATTTTTGCATATCACGCCATCTAGCAGATTAATTCTAAAAGCCTATTCGATATGTGCTATATTTTTGTGTAAGAGGCGTTTTCCTCTTTCCGTTAACATAACCTATTGAAGATAATTTTTGATTATGAGTTAAAATTTAAATGTTTCAGACTAGATTTAATCATTGTCATCTCAAAATGGCATTTTTAATTAAATGGTTGAAAGTCGAAGAATTGTTAAAAATATTTGTTAGATTTAAGCACGGTTCAAATCATTGGGTAAGAATTTTAATATAATTTATTTAGTTTCATATTGAAGCTTGCTTAATTTTGTTACTTGTTTCTTTTATGTTCCGGTTATTACACTACTGTACATTATAAGTATTTTGTATCTTAAAGTCTGTAATTAGGAAGGAAAAGACACATAAGAACAGAGCATTGGCATATTTTGACGACTTTTATGATAAAGTATATGGAAAAGCGTGGAAGGACATAAGAACCGCATTGCTACAAGAAGAAAACAAATATATAGCAGTGGTTAATAATTTTAGCGATGTGAAAAGAATACAAACGTCTTTGGAGGTATAATAGTTATATATATTCTGTATAAAATTTAAAGAATTATCTTTTGTCAATAATTATATATTATAGAATTCTGGGGCGATAAATTTGAAGTTAATATATGATGCATTTATGGAAAATGTACAAGATCAAAGGTTTCAAAAGAAGCCAAAGAAAACTATTAAGTTAAATGATCGAATGGATAATATAATATCGGAACGACAAATATCAAAAGTACAGTCGGTTTATCCAATTGATTATGAATCATCTCCAGATTCACTGACCTATACAGAGAACAATGATAGGAACATTAATATTAATAAACCATTAGAATTAGTACATTTAAAATCTATAGCAGAAGATTCAAATGATGTGAACATTGACAGCAATCGTATTGTTCTTCCCTCTGATGGTTTAGCAAGTCTTTATGAGTTTGTACCGGTAACAAAATTGAAAGGTTCGTAAATATACTATTCAATATGCATATATAAGAAATATCTGCAGAAAGTGTTTCAGTTTTCTTTTTATTTTAATATAGGTATGGATGAATGGGTTTTAGAATCTGAACATTATGAATATTATCAAAAGACAAGTGATTTTAAGATACCCGTGGAAAAAGAGAAAATTTTGTCTTTTCCAAAACATCTTAAATTGTATACATATGAAGAGTTTAGCGAAGAAAAATTTTCAGTCCCACAAAAAGGATCCACTGGAGTATTAGGTTTGATATAACACTATTTCTATCTTTAGTAGTAAATCTATTTATTGTAGTACTTATTTATTTTACCTGCTTTATATTTCAATGTATTGGTTTATTGTAGATTATTATCTTTTTGATGGAGGCTCAATACTACCTATCTTGGCTCTTGACATACAATTAGGTGATTATGTATTAGATATGTGTGCAGCACCTGGAGGCAAGACTCTAACAATTTTGCAAACACTTATGCCCAATTTAGTGGTAGCAAATGATCTCTCGCAGTCTAGAGTAAACAGAATAAAAAAAGTACTAAATCAATACATAGCAGATATAGGACAGTTAAATGACAAATTGTTTATAACAGAAGAAGATGCACGTAAAATTAATGATAAAGGCGTATATAATAAGGTACTATATATAGTTTAAGAAAGTGATTTATTTTATATGTATTAGTTTCAATATCCTTGGTTATAATTTTTTTTTCTTAACTTTGATTATAGATACTTGTTGATGTCCCATGTACAACAGATAGACATGTATTACATGAAAATAATAACAATATTTTTAAACCTACAAGAATTAAAGAAAGATTGCGAATGCCAGAAATCCAAGCAGATATTTTATTGTTAGTATCATAAATATTTTAAATATACTTTTATTTGGCATTAACTATATTACTGCTATCAATATTGCAGCAATGCATTGCAATTAGTAACTGTTGGTGGTACTGTCGTATATTCTACCTGTTCTCTTAGTCCTATACAAAATGATGGGGTTATACAAATGGCACTAAAACGAATGTGGGAAGAAAGTAATACTGTTATAATTGTAAAGTAAGTTATAAAAAATTGTATTATTATATTTTTATTAATATTTTTGATAGTTTTTCCATGTGGAAATTCAAACAAAAAGTAATGAAAATGATAAATTATATGAACAGAGATATGTCGGATGCATTAGATCCATTGCAAACATTGTTTAATTTTGGAAATTTTGGCTTGAAACATGGACATATTGTCATACCTACTATTGGTTATAATTGGGGTCCTATGTATTTTTGTAAAATGGTTAAATTGAAATGATGAAGGTAAGGTAGTTAAATCACACTTACTTAATTTATTAATAAATTATATATATAAAAGTTGTAGACATAATAATAATAAATTTATAGAAGTATAAAAATAATCTGTAAAAAATGTACCAAATGTAAATATTTCTGTGTTAGTTTAACTATTAAAGCACAGATATTTTAATTTATATGTACAATTAAGTAAAGTAATTTATATTTCCAATATTGTAACAGTTTTTAAGTAATTTTGTACCTTTACATTATGAGACTTTTTTACACCACATTAAAATATGCATATTTCATCCAAAAATGTTAAAATTTACATTAATAGTAGCATATCCCTGTGTCTATAATAATATATAGCGTCGATATGTATACATCATTGGTTTTCTTCGATCTTTTGTTAATATATTGCAGTTTTTGCTAATCTCGCACTCTTTCAACTGTACTATATAATAGACGCGTATCTCAATAGGTTATGAGGTTAATTATTAGATTTCATCACGTTCTACATGTTTACAAGGAAAATTATTTATGTCATAAATGTGTGACAAATTAAATAATTATATATGATTAAATAACATAGATACAATGAATCGTGGATCATATAGATGGATCCATTGTGAAAATCGAAGAGAATGCAGCTATGTGAAAGATTACACAGAAAGACTAAAAACTCTCGGCCTAATTATAAATCTAAGTGTTAAATCGAGCGAGTTCAAACATATAAAATGGAAAAAATGTCATTAAAAATATAAGAAATAACTAAAAATATCTATGAATGTGAAGATCCTACTATGAGATGATGTATACTCTTTAAACCGATCGAAGAAAAAAATAAACCAAAGTGTGGCACAGTATGTAAATCCATTTATTCAAAAAGTAGAATAATTAGATGAATTTGGCATACAATCATTAATACCTGTTAGTTAATTCATTGTCTAATGAATATGAAACAGTCAGCATAAATATTGAATCCAAAAAAGAGAATCTATATTTAAAAATTTTTAAATAAAATTAATGAAAAAAGATATAACAAAAACAGATATCAAATAATGAACAATGTCAACCTGATAGAGAAGAAGCATTATCATTATAGGTACTATTATTAAATAGAAACACATGTGGATAAAAAAGTTATATAGCAAGATAAACTAGAAATAGAAGAAAAGGTATAGCTACGAGAAATTACGAAGATTTATGTCCACTCATGATAAAATAATGATAAATATTTGTTAATTAGTTTAGATTTGATAAATTTGACATGTGAAAATAACGTAGATATTAAAATGAATACAAAAAAAGAAAGAGAAAAGAAACTAATCCAAAAGAAAGTAATGAAAAAAGAAAGAAAAAGGAAAAAAGAACAGCAACATTTCAACTAGCAATCCCATGATTAATAATCTGGAGCACTTTGCAATGAGCTACACAGCTTATTATCTAAATGTTACTATCTACTGCTCATATACGTCATAAATGAATTGATATTTTGCAAAATTAATTTTTTCGAAAGTGAGAATTGTATGTTACTGCTGCGACAAATTAAAATAGCAATGTAAATCACGTATATAATAATAAGTAATACCGCGACTGTCGGGGTTTTATCCTAGTTATGTTCATGATTGAATTAAAATTGTTATTAAAATATTACAAATTCAAGAAAATTGAAAATAAACGAATTAAGTAAACACTATGCAACATGATAAATAATATGTACTATTTTATACTTCAATAATTACATAAGTAGTATATATTTGCAAAAGCAAGTATATTTGTGGACTAGTCAACAATGTCTTAAGGTCTTGCCAAACTGTAGTGCAACAACATGCACATGGGTAATAATAGAAAGAAATTTAAAAGCACTAATGAAAATAGTAGAATGCATACAACAGAAAATTATATAAATTAAAAAGAAAAGAGAAAAAACTAACAAGAACATTAAAGTATAATTGTTAGATCAGGAAGCAAATGACATCGAATAAAGAGATATAATGTTTATACAAGAATTAAAAAATAATTTATTAGTATCAAGTATCATTTGAGTATATAATGCAGTTATAAGAAGAAAATATGGGTCCATTTCCACGAAAACTACAATGAAAGATGAACTGTAATCCATTTAATAAATGAAGAATCCAATCATGTTGTCACAAATTTATAATAAAAAGCAACATGATCACTGAAATAAATGAAATTGTACGTACAGTCACTTTTATAAATATTTATACACCGTAGTAATTTCAAAACTATTGTTTCATATATTTATTTATCATATGTTTATTCAATTTATTGTTCTGTAATAAGTTAAAACATTTATTCCAATACATACAAAAATAAATATTGTTTATTGTTTTATATATAATCATTCATAATCAAAATTAAACACTATTTTGAGGTCTCAAAAATCGAGCACTTAATAATATTTAATTACTTTTAATAATACTACATTTTAATATCTTGTTAACTATCATTTTTGCCGAATAATTTCTTTCATATGCGTAGAAATTATGTTAGAAATATGTTAGAAATTATTTTAAGTAAATAATTTCATAGTATACGTCTCCACTTTTCTATTAAGCAAGTTCTTAATTTTTTTGTTCTTATTTGTATTATCTAAAATTTTTTAACTTTTAATTTTTAACTTTTTGTTAAATTATCTTTCAAATTTTTAAATATTTGTTTTTGTTAATATAGACAGTACAAAAGAGCTGATACCAGTATTAAAACTACTCTAGCCACGAGAGGCTGTATGTAACCCAAAATTCAAAGAATTGGAAAATGTGATAGACCAAGAAAGTTATATAATTCATCAATGACAGCTCAAAATGATCAGTATGTTGTAAAGAAAGTTATAGATAGTCTAAAAAGAGAATTGCGACTAGAGGCAGTTAAGGTAAAATATAAATGTTTTGTTGAGAAATGAAATCTAGTAAGTATACCAAAAGATAAAAAAAATATTAATAAATACATGTATTTTTAAGGTTAAAAGAAAACAAAATGGATTGGTGGACAAATTCAAAGCGAAATTAATTGCAAAGGAATAGATTATGAGGAGGTTTTCGTTCCAGTTGGTAACTATGAGACTATTAGACTCAATTTTTCCTTACATGTTGTTGAAAAAACAAATGTACGTATATCTAAACTGACTTATTCAATTAAATATACATGATCTAGTCTAAAACGCTAAAGATTTTGTAAAATGAGAAATTCTGTAAATTAAACAAAGTCTTGTATGAACTGAAGCAATTAAATAGGAAATGGTGCTAAAAGTTAAACAATTATTTGACAAGCATTTATTTTAATAAAAGTACAGTTAATCCATATGTATATAGAAATTTAGATGCGAATAGTGAATGTTATAATTATAATATATGTAGATTTTTCTTAAATGGATCAAGGAATTTAACCATTATACTGCCAGACCTATCTACGCGGTACATGTGAAGAATGACATGACTGATTCAATATTCCAGACAAAAGACAGTTATAAAGAGAGATGATTACGCATCAGAAATCATAACGACTAAGTGTGAGCGAAAAAGCTACTTGATACTTGAAGGAGCGACAATCAGAATGTAAACGCATGAAACCGATACATCGGTCTGTGGCAGTTTTCGCATAGGTACTGAGGGGTGATGTGTTGATCTGCTGGTAGTAAAAGGTTTAAATAGGATAAATTGAGTTAAGAATTTATTGAAATTAGTTTTTGAAACAAAAAACATCAAATGCAAAATTAATAAAAACAGCTACTCACTGCAATGTAAACATATTAAAAATGTGATGGAAAACATTACAAATTGATGGGTAGTTTAATATATTTATCTTACAGTTGTCTAGATATTGTTTGTCGCGAAAGCATTTAATCGATTTTGTGATAATTCAGATATAAATCTTTGAAGAAAATAATGCTACATGCTAAGGTATTTGTGTGGAATTATAGATTATCAAAGGTAATACCAAACTAGAAACGTATATTGACTCCAACTGATTGACGACTTAGAGGATATGCATTTATGCTTAGATTATGTTGTAATATTGATAAGTGTTCCAATTAGTTGAAATACAAAGAAACAAAAATGTGTTTCCATCGACAATAGAAGCAGAGTATATAACTCTTTTAGAACTTATATAAAAGATATAGTTTATTTAAGAAGCTTGTGATGATCGGTAGTATAGATCTGGTTCGTTATGAAGTTCAAAAGAGAGTATCGCAGAGACGCCTTTATTTTTTAGGACTCGCGTGACTCTTGGGACTCAATGGATGTTTATGCTTAGTGATAAGTCCTCGATGGTTATATTTTGCATTCCTTAGCAGTGAGCCAAAACACTTTATAATTGAATAAAATTTTTATTACATCTTTTTACAGAAATTGATGTTCTATCATCGAGTTGTTTTATTATATTGAGTTAATTAAAATATTAAAACTGTTTATTTATTATTGATCATGTTATAGATCGTTAAATTTGTTTATATTGCAAATGTGTGTAAGGGACAATTTATCAATTTCGAGAGTCTTTAAGAGTCTGCAGGTTCCGTAATCTAAAAACAATGAAGATGTATTGCAAGCGATAGCTTCCAAAATCAGGAATGTGTTCATTTTTTTAATTATAATTTTCCAATTTTATGTATATAAAAGAGTAATGCTGAAACAGATATGATTTATATTAATAGTAAATGTTAGTACAAGGTAATTAAATAGCATACGGAAAGGATTTTGATTTATAATAATAAAAATTTGTCTTTTACTATCTGTGTATAACTTTAATGAGATTTTTAGCTTGATTTTTGATTATAATTATTTGTAATGTTTCTTATCCATCTTATATGTGTTATGATTCTTATCTGTTGCTATGTTTCCTTATTCTGTCTGTTATTACATATGCAATTTTATGTTATAGTTGTAATGATCTTATTCATGTATTGTATCAAATTATATTGTACGAAGTGGTAAGAATTAGAAATATTTTATCATTTATAGAAGGTAAAAAAATGTTTGTAAATTTTTATTTTATAAAAGATAATCATTTAGTTATCATGTGCTGTTATTCCACAGAATAGGCAATTTTGATTATGCATTATCATTGTCATATTTAATATTATTAGTGAATTCTTATGGTTCTTAACCCTTTCGTTATGGACGAGTTCTCCGCCGCGGAATTTCCGCTGAACGGAGCGCTGCGACATCACTGCATGCTATGCGACGTCGTAGATGCCATCAATAGCATCTTATGGAAGGCCACTATAGTGGCCCGTAGTAGCGAAAGGGTTAAAGCTGTGGTGTTTAAGGCTGTCCGGTATTCCTGATTTTATAATGGTTTATGCCAACGATAAGAACAGGCGTAATTATTGACTGATTTTGATGACCGGGATCTCATTTTAAAGACAAAAGTTTAATCTAGAATCCTGTTTTTTCGAATTTTTGAACAAATTGTATATTTGTAAATAAACTATTCTCGAAGAAATACCATTCTTTAACATTATTTTTTCAAAGTAAATAAAGCTTTTCCAAAAATTCAAGAAAGTGCGGTCTTAGATTAAATCTTCGTCTTTAAAATGAGACTTTATTCATTAAAATCGGTTAAGAATTACGCATGTACTCATTGTTGACGTAAACCATAAAATCAGGGGTTTTAGTCTCACTAGCCTTAATTAGAATACATGAAAAAGTATATAACGAATGTTATGATGTGTATATATATATATATGTGTTATATTATGATGTATATGCCAAGAACATGTGTGTAGTGTATATATACATAGAATTAACACTGAATAATATTTGTATAATTTTTCTTTAAATTATAATTTTATAGTATAGTATTATGATTATAATATGATAGTGTTTTTATCGATATTTTAGGATTGTGTTCTGAAGTGTTTCCAATTAGTATAGCTATAATGTCTCTACAGTTTATGTGGTGATATTGGAATTAATTTTATAGGTTCGTTTGCGTATTTGTTTAGCATTTTATTGGCCACTTATCCATTTAATTGTACAAGATAGTAAATTAGAGTTTTGATGTTTTCTTGACAAATTCCTTTATTAATATTAATGTTGGTGTTGAAATTAATGTTGGTCTATGTATCTTAGTATGATTTTTAATATTGACAATATAATTTAGAGATCTCAATGAAATTACTCAAAAATATCAAAAATTGCTGACTGCAGAATTCTCCAGAGTTAATTACTATGTCGCGAACACGTCCCCGCTTTTTCAACATCTAACACGTAGAAAAATTTTCTTTCTTCAGTATCTTCTTTAGCCAGTTTAGATTATTCAAAAGTCTGCATGTTACATTTTTTATGATGGATACAAATGAAATGAGACTGTCCGATCGTTGTGGAATAATCCTATATCATTTGTTTTATGTAGTAATAAAAATTATTTTGGTTATATAATTAAGTTGAGTTCGTGATTTTTTTACAATCGCTTTCAAACATAACGTAACAGCAAATTGAATTAGAAAAACACTTCAACATTTCCAAGAAAGTTATCTTGATTTCCTTAGATGACCTTAGTTGCATACCTCAGTCATCAGTACGATATTTTAACAAACTTGTGAACGTACTGATAATTTGCTGTAACTGATAACTTGCTATAATCAAAGAGGATCAATGCATTCGAAATTCAATGTATATATAAATGATAATCTAGCAGTGTCAAAAATTGGGATTACAATCAATGCAGTATTAGTCGGATATTTAAATAATCTGAAGTCTAGTTTATATATCATATTTCAGATATCACAGGCCAATAGTCTGTTAGATTATAAAAAATGGATATATCCCAAAAATAATAGTATGTGTAAAGAATCATAATGAAATACAAAAAAAATATAAACACAGTATATGTAAATAAATATTGTTATTATATATTAATAACAATATTTATATATGTATTATTACATAAATAAATATATGTAATTAAATATTAAATTGAAATATTTTTATAAAAAAATAAATATATAATTAAATCGATTCCATAAGTTTCACATCTAATGTGCGTGGTGTCATGTACTCATTTTTGTTTATCAAAAATAATAATTAGTAAATATATTTAATATATAAGTATATATAATTATTTTTTATAAAATGTCCGACAAAAGTTTGCTTTATTACCGCAAATTTATATACTATTTATTATATGTATCAATTATATTTATTATTCTTTATGTATTTATATCGCAAAATAAATGCGTATTGGCGTTGCTTCATATCTAAGACAGATCCTTGCGAGACGCATGCCACCATCAAAGGATATATAGTTAGACAAAAAAGTCTCGGTACACTGTACTAAAATTTTTTTGATATTGTTTATCTCTAAGCGGAATATTAATAAATAAATCATTTTTACGCTAGTGTATTCAGAAATATAACATTTATTATTAATGAAAAAGAAAAAATAATACATTTATTTATCAAGTAAAATAAAGAAAAAACAAATAACAAAAATAAGGTCAAAAAAGTTTTCGTACACATAACTTTATTAATCATAATATTTTAAATTAATAATCTGTCGGTTCTCCCTTCACTTTAATTACCTCTTGTAATTTTTTTGGCACAAAGTTCCGGATTTTAATTCTTTTTTGTTTTTAATATTATACTTTTTTAAGTTTCCTTTAATAAATATATATATAACATAGAACATTTATGTTATTATAATATATAGTATAATATATTATGTTATATATTATGCTATATATTATGTTATATATATATATATATATATAATATATGTAATACATTTATAAAATTATATATAAATATAATAAAACTGGATAAAATTATATATAAAATATATTAAAATTATATATATATATATATATATATATATATATATATATATATAAATATATATAAATGTATATATAATATAAATGTTCTATGGGGTTCATGTCGAGTGATTGAGGAAGTATGTGAAGTTGCTTTGGAACATTATATAATATCCATTCTTTTACTTTTTTTGCGGTGTGCTTTAAATCGTTATCTTGTTGAAAGATAAACGATCCTTCTAAATTTAATTTCATTGCTCTACTACTTAAATTTTCTTTAAAAATATTAAGATAGAC